GAAATATGTGTAGTGGGGATAGGGATAAGAAAGAGCTAAATCCTTAGCTTCCACAGTAGAAAATCAATAGATTAAGAGAAATTCTAAGAAATCAAGAAGTATCAGTATAAGCAAATTATTTGGAAATATGAAGGTTAATACTTAAATAATCAGCTAAAAATGAAAGCAGTTGCCTCTGAAAAGGATAAAAACCTCCTCAGCTACTTTTAACATAATTTAGAAAAGTTATTTGCCACTTTATAACAAGAATCATCTTTCTTCCGGTATCCAATCACATGTCCATCATTTTTTCTTAAAGCCTAGCCAGAAACACAATTTAACATTTGCAACATTCTGCCTATGGCATTAAAGGCTTTCTCTACAGGATTCCTCATTTCTTTCTGAGCCCTTATCACAATCATCCTTGATGTACGTAATTCTATCAACGATCTCTTCAAGGCAATATAGGCTCTTACTATCAGGATCATCCAGACTTCTCCGGTTTTTATCCATAACCCAATTCCAATGCTCCTTTCACATTTTTAGGTATTTGTTACAGCAGCACCCTATTTCTTGTTACCAAGTTCTGTCTTAATTATATAGTGCTTCTGTAACACAAATACCACAAGTAGTTGGCTTTAAAGAGCAGAAATTTATTTTTTTTACAGTTTTGGAGACTAAAAGTCCAAGTAAGGGCCATGTTGTTGTTGTTGTTGTTGTTATGTGCCATCAAGTCGGCCCCGACTCATAGCGACCCCTCCTTGGGTTTCCAAGGCAGTATCACTACGGAAGTAGGATTGCCCAATCTTCCTTCCGAGGAGTGGCTGGTGGGTTTGAACCGCCAGCCTTCTGGTTAGCAGTCAAGTGCTTTAGCCACTATGCTACCAGAGCTCCTAAGTAAGGGCCATAGCTGTATTAATTCCTTCCTTGTCAGTAGCCCTGGGCATTCCTTGTTTCCTTGGTGTTCTTGGCTTAGTGTTCCTTGGCCTACAGACAATCCTCACATGTGTCTGTCTTTCCCTGTATGTATGTGTCCCTGTATTCTGCAATTTTTTATAACTCAGAAGTTATTATATTTAGGATCCACCCTACTCTGGTTTCACTTCATTAACAAAACAAAAGAAAACCCCTTTATCCAAACAGGATCAAATTTCTAAGTACAGGGGCTAGAAATTCAATACATATTTTGGGGAGACACAATTCAATTCATTACACATTTCTTTGCTTTAAAGGAGGTCTATGAAATAATTGGGTAGATTATGGAATTAAAATGTAGAATACATATTGATCTTCATGATGCAGTACTCAAATCCATGGAAATGAATCTATGGAACTCTTTAAAAAAATTGTTTCATAATACAGGTAAAATGAAACTCACTGAAATTACAAAGTTTTGCACTTCAAAAGACACAATTTTAAAAATGAGAAGGCAAACTATGTACTAGGAGAAAGTACTTGCAAAACATATATCCAATTTAGACATATCCAGAATATATAAAGAACTCTTACAACTCAATAATAAGTAGAGAAACAATCAAAAATAGGCAATAAATACAAACACTTCACCAAAGAAGATATAAGAATGACTATAATGCCTAAGACACTTGACTGCTAACCGGAAGGCTGACGGTTCAAACCCACCAGCCTCAGAAGGAAGATTGGGCAATCTACTTCCCTAGTGATACCCCTCAGAAACCCAAGGAGGGGTCGCAATCAGTGGGGTCTGACTCGACAGCACATAACAATAAGCACATGGAAACTCAACCTCACTAGTGATTAAAACCCAAATACCAAACTCACTGCCACGGAGTAGATTCAACTCATAACAACCCCTCCTTAGGTTTCTGAGGTGGTATCTCTACAGACAGGAGCTCTGGTAGCATAGTGCCTAAGGCACTTGACTGATAACCAGAAGGCTGGCGTTTCAAACCCACTAGCCACTCATCAGAAGGAAGACTGGTGTGGTGTAGCAAATTACTTAGTGCAGCTTTTCTACCCATAAGTCTTTGTAAACTCTAAGGTGGGATTTTCTATGGGCAACTGAGGAGCTCCTGATTGCTGAAGTTGTCC